CGCAGCTGTCCCCGCGGGTCCCGAGCCCACGCCCTCCACGCCCCGAGGGTGGTGGAGGTGACTTTTCTGCGCGGCGCAACCCGCTGCGCGCTGGAGTGCGAGTCGCTCTCCGAAGGACCCGAGGCGTTAGCGGACGCGCTGTGAGAGCGGCTCCCGGGGTCCGCTCCCGGCCCAGCCAGAGCCGTGCTGTCACACCGACCCCTCAGGAGTGTGTTCGAAGGCTGGGATTGCCTTGGGGACTCACGAAGATCACAGGGGTGATGCCAAGGGTCAGTCAGGAAACAGTTATCATGATCAGGCTGGAGGGAAAACACCTGGGGTTGTTAGTTGCCCCTCATAGGATTACTCTGTTTTTACAACTGGAATCCCAGGAGTGCTCTTGGAAGTCCGAGGAAGACCTGAAATCTGCTTCCCCATTTCTGAGGTTAGCAAGTGGGCATGCATATCACTAGTGATGTTTTGGCCTTTTGCTTCCCCCAGCCTACAAACTTGCGACTTCATTTATTTTGATGGTTGGGACAGCTGGGCACATTAGGGCGCTGTAGCAGCAGACCCCCGCCCTCAAGATGCCCCCAACCCATCTTCCAATGAGAAGTCCAAGTACGAGTGGGCTATGTTTACCTTCTCAGGAGTGAGCAGCTACACACTTAAGAGCCCAGGACCCGGGAAAGGATCCAGGAAGTTCATAATTTCCACGTGTTTCTGGCCTCAAGGAAGACAGAAAACATTGTGTCATTCCACGCTCCCTTCCAAGACTTGGTGATTGCCAGCTGCTCTGTCCATCTTTCCCCCAGCTCTGTGTCCTCCCTGCAGTTCAGAGCACCAGTCCAGAATAAGAAAGACGTGGAAGACAGGATGAGAAATAATAAAATTAACATTTGGGGGCCTCGCCTCTGTGAAACATTCCTCTGGGAACCTTCTGTTACCTATTACTTTGCAACTCTTACACCCTCTTTTATCTCGAGCTATTATTTTTCTTCTGGTCATCATTTTTATAAGTAGCAAAAAATTTAGCTTTCTCCTTACCTTCAAGAGTAACATGATAGAAGTAGGGTTGAGAAGAGGAAGAAAAAAAAATTCCTTTACCCACCAGGAAACCCTTGGGAGCACAAACTAAAAGTAAGGAGTAGAAAGTGTGATCTTCCTCCTAATAAAGCTCTTTATAATAAAATGTGTGTGAAATTTTGTGGTTTATAACATCAGCTTTCAAAATTCAATTGTAGATACTAAAATGTGTTTATATGTATCTCTAAATTAAAAGTCAGTAATAGAACCTTTTAGGTTTAAAGGATATGTATGTTAAGCTTAAATTTCTACCTTCTAGTCAACATTCATTACCAATATGTCACATAGTTTCAAAATTTGATTTTAAAACCTTTCTTAGGCCCATAATTGATTTCTGTTTGACCACCCTGAGAATTCCAGGGAGATGAAATAAAATGTTTCAGGACTGAAACAATATTACCCTGAATTTCTTGACACCTGGGAGATAATGGTCTCCCCCTTGGCACATTTTCTTTACAACTTTCCTTCATCTTGATGGAAAACTCAAATGCATGGGACCTCTATATCCCTCTACTTCTTCATCTGAGGCCTGGTTTCTATAATGTGGAATATGGGAAGTCCAAGTGGTATGTTACTGCTTCGCATGGTCGGGATTTGAGTTGTTGGGGGAAAAAAAATAAAGCTCTTCACTGCAGTCACTTCTGCAACGTAAGCAGACCACACGGCTCATCTCAGTCTAGCTCCGAAATAGCCTCTTTGTAGCACCTCACCCAAGGCCTGTCATGCATAGCCATACCGCTGAGTAAATCTTAATTTTAAAAAATAAAGAGACATTCTGTTACTTTTCTATTTGTAAGATTTTCAACTCCATATCATGACTAAGTTTACTCATTTATTTGTTCATTCATGGACTTATATCTTATTCAATAAAGAGAGCTGTAAAAAACCCCCACTAATGTGATACAGGTGTATAGGTTTGAAATAGAAAAATTTCTTAAAATACTTCCTGCTCTAGATGAGTTTATGGTTTTCTACAGCAGTCATTTCCAACCTTGTCTGGTTTGTAGAGTCATTTTAGCAGTTTTTAAAACTATTCATGCCTGGACCCTACTGCCCCATGGGTTCTGATTTTATTTATTTAGGATGAGACCTGGCATAATACTTTGTAAAAGATCTCCAGTGATTTCTATTTTCAGGAAAGACTGAGGCCCACTAATCAAATGAGAACAAGGGAAATGTTTAAAAATGAATTTTTATTAAATAGGCTGTGCTGTCACTTTGTGTTGGTGCTTACAAGGGGACCTTGAGAATCACCCCAACCAAGATACCCTCATTTCCTTTGCCCCTTTAGAAATGAAATGTAGTGCTTTACTTGGTTTTGCTAAATAAGCATACATAAATTATTTTATAGATCCAGCTTATGATGTAAAATATTCATCTGGACTAGAAAGTTCATGTATTTAATTAGCAAAAAATATATGTCCTTAAAAATTATCTCCTTACTAATATTGAGGTAATGATATCAATACTTAAAATTGTGAGTTGCCTCATTTTGTGTTACATTTTGGAGTTAGTTTCTCTTCAAGGGTAGAAGCCCACTGTAGATTGACTGAGAATGAAACATCATATATATGGAGAGACCAGTTTTGAAATAACTATTAAAACTAAAATTGAGATGCTTTTTTAAGTTATATGGAAAAATCTTTACGTGCTTTTCAGTTTTGTTTTGGTTGAGTTCTACTGTATTTGAATATTATTATAATTTTTTTCCCTTGCATTGTTCTTCTTTGAATGGTTTTAACTTTTGTATGTGTGTGTGTTTGATAATAAAGTTATTTGAAAAAGAAAAACTAAAATCAAAGCATGCAATATTGAGAAAACAAATTAAGATTCATTCCTATGGTGGCCTCTTGGGATTTGAGACAGTATTTCAGTGATAGTTGATGTCACACATTCCTCTTAGAAGAAAACCTCATTCTTGCCAGGCATGGTGGTACACAACTGTAATCTCAGCACTTTGGAGGCTGAGGTAGTAGGGTCACTGCACTTTTAAGGCCAGCCTGGCTACATAATGAGTTCAAGGCTAGCCAGAACTACATAGTGAGACCCTGTCTCAAACACTTGAAAAAAAAAGCCTCGCTCTTTTTAAATTCCATTCCTTTGGTACTTCATAAAGGCCAACTAACCTGTGTTATAAGGCGTCTTGCTCTCTATGTGTATTAGATGTATTCAGACCTATGAGAAAAGTAGTTTGGTTTGTTTCCTTGAACCTAATCAATACTAAGTCCTACATAATTTAAAGATTCAAAACACAACATCTTTAAGGGTTTTGATGGGAAACGTTTGCATTTTCTCAATTTACCAGTTACAACCTACTGTTGTCCAGGATTATTTAACATTTTCAAAAGTAATTTAAATGTAAAATAGAATGATACACAGTAAGTAATATCCTGCAATGGAAGAACATGATGTTTATTTCCTGGGGAGACTACTGAGAAATGACTAGATTGTAAGTTTTTCAACCAGAAAATAAAGGATTTCAAAATGATGAGGAGAGTTTGGAGGAAATGACACTGGGCCCACAGATACCTCACATGGTACTAAATGACTCATAAAATGCAGTATTTTTACATAATATGGGAAGTGCACCATGCTTGTACATCTCACCATTGAGTGTGGTTCAGTACTTTGATCTTCAACAATATACAACATTTGTTGTATAATAGCGATAATAGGACTATTCAGCTATTTCACACGGCAATAATCGAGTCCTCTCTCATCAGGATAAACTGTGAGGACAAATCCTTTCAAAATCAGAATTAGTTCCTTACAGAGAGAAGAGTGAGGCTACAATTATCCCTTAAATAGGAGCAGCTGCAACATAGTATTGGCCTGGAGAGTGGCGGCAAAGTATTTTTCCAATGCAATTAAATGGATTTTTTTAATGCAAACTAATATTCTATAAAAAGTCAATTGGAAGGTAAGTAGGTGTGGAATTCCTGGGATGAGAGGAACAATCATTTTGCTTACCTGAGTTAATATTCCTGCCTGAGTAAATGCTATTTTGGTGAAAATAGATAATCAAGGCTCATATTTTTCCATGAAGTAGGGCCCAAAATGGAACCAGAGTAATACAAAAGAAAGATAATTTTGGTTTATTTGTACATTCTACATCTTATCTTGAAATGTATTCAGAACCATGTTTTGTTATTGATGTTTTTCAAAAAGCTATGATGAGTCAACAGCAATATTTCAATTTAAACAGGAAAGGCATTACTCGGATAGAAAAATAGAAAGATACTTATGCTTGTCAGTGTCTACATACAGAGGCAGGATGAAGAGTGGGATCTTACAGGTATTTTTCCCCACTAAGATGATTAAAGGATGGGAAAATAAGACCTTTAGGAAAGATTAAAGGACGTATCTAAAGAGGGTGCTGCAGAGAGACAATGTAGTTCTTCAAATCAGACAGCTATACCTGACCAATGGGATGTGACAGCAAAGCCTAGAGAATTTTGTCACACTTGAAAAAAATGATCCCCAATGTGATCTTGAATGTGTGGCCAAAGGAGAGGTGGGCTCTCCGCAGGACTGATTTAAAATCTTGAAGACCAAAGGAAGTTTGTGAGGTCACCTGGGCACCCATTCACACCCTTCTTGAAATATGTCTTCCTGATATGAGATTGATGGACAGTGAGTTTGAACTTATCTTGAATCATCCAACAGGCTTCTGTGCTCATACATTTTGGATGACATACAGTGAAGTTCATTCAGACAGTAAGCCAAAGAATGTCTTGGTGTTCTTTTAAGTCTAAAAGTACTTTTTTTTATATTAGGCCTGATGCCTGAATATTTTCAAGGACTTTGGTTACCCCCCCCATACACACACAAAGTATACATCTATACATCTGATTTTTCAGGCAAAATTTAACATGTGAGCTATAACAAGGACCTAAAATAATATATTTATAGAATGCTACTGATGTAAAGGATAGCATGATAGGAATGGCATTTTAGGATGATCTCAATGCCAAAGATTTTTTAAATTACTTTTATTGATACATTTTAGGTGTACAATACAATGACGTTCATCATTGAAAATTTACACCTTTACATAATCCATCTTGGTTCTTATTTTTTCCCCTTCCCCTGCCCTCCCTTCAACCCCTCAACCCCACATTATTTACAAACATTTTGTTGCCAGTTTTTGATTTTCTCGTATTAATTCCATTCCCTTCTTTCCTTTTCCCTACCCCTCCCACTTCCCCTTCCCTTTTGCCCCTTTTCTTCCTATTTCACATTATCTATTATACCTGTTAGTCCTTATTTACACTTTCAGTTTCACATACTAGAGGAACTATTCGGTATTTACCCATGTGTGTCCTATTTATTTCACTTAAGAGAATCACCTCAATGTGCATCCATTTACCTATAAATGTCTCTAATTTCTCATTTTTTATGGCTGAGTAGTACTCCATTTTATAAAAAAACTACATTTTCTTTATCCAGTCTCCAGCTGATGGTCAATTGGGCTGTTTCCAAGATTTAGCTATGACAAACTGTGCAGCTCTGAACACGGATGCACATATACCACTGTGGTATGATTCTTTTAATTCTTTGGGGAAGTTCCCCAGCAGTGGAATAGCGGGGTCAAATGGGACTTCCAGTCCTAGTTCTTTG